TGTAGCCGAAGTTGTCATAGTTGAAAAATGTCATGGCAGCTCCGATCTTCTCGTCTCCCCCTACGTATTGGCCATAGAAATGCTGTTTGGGAACACGTCGCTTATCAAGCGTTGCACCTGCCTTCTCTCCAAACCCGAAATACTGAGCATTAGTCGGCGCCATCTTAAATTGAGCGATAGCCTCACCACCATCATCGCGCTTAACGTATACCAGGTTGTAGTCTCCTGGTTCTGCGTGAATCAATTGGCCATCTCGGTACACGGATAACGCATATTTCCTCAAATTGACACGGATCTCAATCTTATTGGTGCCTATCCTCAGAAATCCACCTTGTTCCTCGACTTTGATATCGGAAGCCTCGATCCTTCCCATCTCAGTGGCTGGAGAGAGAGTCTTCCCATACGGAGCTTTAGGGTCAGGGTTGAACCGCACCCGGAACATGGCGTGGGAAAGGAAATAGATGCAAAGTTTAAGATCGCCTTCAAGGAAGAGGGTAAATTTATCTTCCAATCGTTCTTCTCCTTCTCGAATCCACTTCGTTACTCTGCCTAAAGGGATCCAGTTAATTCTGGACTCTGGAGTAAACTCGTCCGCAGGAACGTAGCGGTATGCAGTCATCTTAGGGGTTGGAATACTGGTCTGCAGGAAGCGCAAGTAAGGTAAGCAAGAGAATGTGAAATTTTTTCGGTCAAGTTATTTATCTGAAGCAGAAAATCGTCACTTTTGTTAAAATAATTAACGGCATAGAATATGAATTTATATACTGGTGATTAAAAAAGGTGACAAATGACTGGTACAGCAAAACAGTCGTGAACTAAGTTTCACATCGAGACATGTTAAATTTGCGGTACCTACTCGTCATTCCGCCTCTTTCTCTCGCTCCTTAGACATTCAAGGGCTGCATTGTGTGGAATTGTGGTACTTTGGCCAGATAAACTATGCTGGCTTAACTTTGGGCATAAAGCTATCACCCGCGCATCAAGCATGATCCCGACAAAATCCTTAAAAATTCCCTCGATGTTACGGTTTACCGAGCGAAAAATTCTGTTGCTTGAGTACTAGTGAGCCTGCCTTTCTAATTTGTACTTTAGGGATATAATAAAATGTTGTGTTTTGCCTCTTAAAAGCTAGTTCAAATTAGTTCAAATTATGAACTGATGATTACGAACAATTTTGGCATAATCCTTTCGGCTTAATGCCATGTTATCAGGGGTGAAAGCTCAAATTTCGAGCATGATTTATCTGACCCTAATTGTGGCACTATGGGTAGTATTATCACCTTTTCTAATATTTTGCGCTCCAGGGCAGATGGAACAGGGAATAAATGTTTTTCACGTAACACACACATTTGATTTTCTTTAGCTATGAGGTAAGGGCACTTAGCTGTTTAAGGTACAAAAAAAGGATTCTCCACACTGTACTGTCTACATAACGGTGTCAAGCTCGACTGAATCACTTTGACAATATTTGTCAATTAAAGATTGCTTTGGTATGAAATGCAAAGTTCCTCTGGTTTTGAACCATTGTGCATTTACACCTACTCTTCAAAATTAGTATAGAAACTGGAATGTACTTCCACAATTTCCAATTTAAATTCTGTTCAATTGAGTCTCAATAAAACGGCTCTTCGTGTCTCTGTTTAAACCTGGTCTTCATCGAAAAGTTTGTTCACAAACGAGGCAAAATAACTTTGGCTTATGACCAGCTGTAGCATTCAGGTCTGTAATTGTACAAACCAACTTAAGCCGAAATGCATGCAAACAAAATAACCCAACAGTTATTGCATAATACCCTTAGCTTGAAGAACAAATTTCAGTAATTGACCCTTTCTATAAACTACCAGTAAAAGAACAAAGGTAAGAGCTTTATTAGTAATGCACACGAACAAAATGACCCCATAGTAACTGAAAACTACCCCAGCATGATAAGCCTAGTCCAATAATTAACGGCATACGATCAGAGTTAGCCCTTGATACAAATATTTCCGTAATTTAACTTAACGAGGCTAAAGGAATCGCCATGTACGACTGCTACAATTTTGCTGCCGAGTCGCAAGGCCACTTGAGCAAAACACCACAAGATTAGCCCCATATTCTGCATTTTTACTGAAAGACAGCGTATTTGCTGAAAGACAGCGTATTTGCTGAAAGAGAACTACCTGATCATTTTGTTTACCTTGAGTATAAGACTAAATATTCTTGCAATCAAATTCGCTGGACGGACCTCTAATGGAAGGTGCAGTTAAATCTGAAAAATTCCGGGGCTGAAAGGAGTGGGCGTAATTGACTACAGAATGCTATACAATGATTCTCAAGGGAAGCTTTTTATGCAAGGAGGCTGCATATATATACTTTCCGCCATATTTTCGTAGGACCCCATGCTTCATTATCCATTCAGTTCTTGCATGAAGGAAACAATGTTGAAAACAATACACTGCCTCATGGGACTATAGATTTGTTATAGAATAGTGTGATGTTATTTGGAAATCTTTCCCTAATTTCTGGAAATAAATCTTTAGAATATCTTGACAATTTTTACAATACAAAATTTCTGATATAAGATTGCAGATAAATATACATGTTTTCCCATTTTTATTATCTTATGTTGTATATATTTATATACTCTACACCGCCTAGATTAGCTATGCTATTTTCGGTGCACAGTAACCTCTCTCTTTTATTAGTTTACTAATAAACTGATATTGACTGAAAGTGACTCACAAAAGTGTGTTTTAAGTCAAATACCATTTCCAGGCTTTTCTCGACACTTCCCGTGCGCCTTTCACATGATAATTGGCACTTTTCACAATAATTTCGAAAAGCTACCTTTTCAGAGGAGTCTCTCAGGAGATCAAACATGACAGTTGACTGACGTCCAAGAGTTCTCTGTCAATTAATAATGCTTAACTCTTTAACTCCTAAGAGTGACCAGCATCAAATTTCTCCTTACAATATCACCCCTGAATCAAACATTAAGGTCATGAGAATAAAGGAAATGATCACCAACTAAAGAAGTTCTACATTGCTAACCAAATTCTCCTTGTCAGCACCTTAGGAAACGTACAGATGACAGCAAGGAGAAAATGCATACTGATGTTGGGGTGTAAAGAGTTTAAGAACCAAATGGATTCCAATTTGGTCTTGATTCATGCGGGTGATTTCAAAACAAAATCAGACGACTGCAAGCGCATTGAGTAGTCTTTCCTTTTCGGCGAAGTCGAACTCCCTTTTGGCATGGAACTCTGGGAGTGAAGCGCGCCCCACTCCCAGAGTTCCACACAGCGCGCTAACAACGTTTTTTTCGCTAATTTTTTTTTTACTCGCGCAACTAACTTCGCCGAAAAGGAAGGATTTCTCGTAGTCTATTACAGGCAGTTATGAATGAAAAAAACTCCAGTCATCAATTAATCAAACTGGAACAAATTTTTAGAGATGAAACATACCCATAAGTTACAAGTATACATTAGTTAAAACGTGACAGTTGACTTATCCAATGATAAAATAGGCCCAACAATCTGTAACAACAGTGAAGCATTCTGTACAATTTCATAGCCTGGCATGAAGGGTAAACTATGCTATATATTACGGGGGTAAGTTTCCAAAGAAGCTATGGTGCTGCGTTGGTGGAAGAGTATAACAGGGTAACTAAGTATTATCAACTAAGTTGATAACGTAAATTGGCCAAGAAGCTGACGTTTCGATTTTTAGCCCTTTGTCAGAGCGTTAGCCCTTTGTCAGAGCGTTAGCCCTTGGTCATTTACTCTGACAAAAGGCTAACACTCGAAACGTCAGCTTTGAAACTGTTAAGGACACTAGCCAGGAGGCTCACTTTCATTTAACTGAGTGTTGATTAGTTTAATCAGGAGCCCAATTTCAGAATGATCCTAGATACGAACATACTTACAATGTCATCTGTTTGTTTATATTTCTATTGGTTTTGTAATCGGACATTTCAGCGTCACCACGCGCATATAGAAGCGAGTTTAGCGTCCCTGTAATCAGTTCTTCGCAAGTTTTTTGAGTACTCTAGGTGAACTTTCGTCTTTTCGTTTCTTAAACCTTTGGCATAAGCGGGATCGATATGTGAGTAATTTTGTAACTTTGTTTTCTAATTTAGTTTTCCAGCATTAGGCGAAAGTATACAAACAGATGTTTCGTTGTATTGCCGTGTTTTCCAATTGATTCGAGATTTAAAGGCCAAAATTGTATCAGATGCAAATGAACGCCCACCATTTAGAAAAGGACGATGGGCTGTTAACCAGCCAAAAAATTTCTTGTAATTTTTGTACCTAAACTTTTGTACTTTAACGTAGTTTTTATTGGTTTATTTGTATTGTTCATTGTCATTTTAATCTCGTTGTCGGCGTTAAGGCCCAGCTTTTTACACGCGATTTTTTTATTATGTATTTCGCAACATTTCCTCAGATTGATAGAACTTCGTTGTGTTATTGTTTCAGTTTTCGATCGGTCGATTGATTGATTGATTGTGAGATTAATCGCTGATTGTGATTCGTGGTCGACTACTTGCAAGATTAAACATTCGTGTTAATGGTCAACCTTGGTCTGTTATTCTTCAATCTCGATCTGTAAAATAACCCCCTAACACCTCGGTAATCACGTCTTGGAGCGACACTGCTTGGAATCTTAAAAATTAGAATTTTGGTCGCCGCAAGTGCTAGAGAAACTCTTTACGGTGGCCAATTTACGTTATCAATTTAATTGACTGTACTATATTACCCTGTGCTACATTGCACTAAGATTGTCCCATCACCCTGGAGACTACTTCCCAGTTAAAGCTAATGGAGGTAATTTAATGTTAACAACGGAGTTGAAAACGTAAATTGGCCACCGTAAAGAGTGAAAGACTGACGTTTCGAGGGTTAATACAAAGTTCGTCTGTGTCCCTAAAGAAGGGAAAGATTTCCGTCAGCCCCATACACATTGTGCACACTGCTCTTGGATAAACTAAACAATTGTGAAAAGAAAAGATTAACTTTGTGACTACAGCTTTGCTTAAGAATAGTACATGTTATATGTAAATCTTTCCAAAAATGGAAATAAAATAAAACATAGGCAAGAGCTGCAAGCTCAAATCCTAACCAGCATGACCGAACACTTGGTGACCTACACATATTGTATGTATTGCGTGACAGAATCTCACAATGGACTGGATGTCGATTAATAAGCTCACCTAAGCACGCGATTGAGCTGAACACGGAAGAGTGCAGGGTAACTTGTTTATATCTAATTTGAGTAACAATATCGCTGATTCTCTTTATGGAAACTCCTTTCTAGACTGACCATAAGGCGTCATTACACTCTTTCGTTACCCTCTCAGAAATATGGTGTACAAGACGAAAAAACGTTTGAATTTTACGAAGTGTTTAAAGTCCAAGTGGCTGACTGATGTGAAAGATTATGAATTGAGGAAAAGAACAATTGTGGTCAACATTTCCAACAAGGATGCCCTCATCTCGGGGCCGGAACCTCGCAAAGTTTTGCAGCCGAGAAAGTCCACGATTTTAGCAGGTTACGTTTCAGTTGTTTCAGACTTTGAGGATTTAATTTGAAAGGTCATGCGCAAATATCTTGTGAACCTTCAATAATTTTCCAGTGTGAATTTTAAGTCTTCCCTAGAAATAGACTGATCTTCAGCTTCCACGTTTTGTTTTCCACTGAAGGAATCCCCTTTTGTCTTTTTCGAATTATACGTACAATCCGCACATACGCAAGTGAATAAGACCAGAAAGAATCAGTTCTCAAGAGTGTGAGCACTTGATCTACATTGAGACATGAAAATCTACACGATTTAACGGTATATGGAGAAAGTTGGCTTAATACAACCTATGGTTGATTCAAATGGGCTCTGTAACATAATTAGGCATAAGTTTTATTGAAATCTTGCCTTCGATTAAATTGGGCTCTGTTACAAAATAGCAGGTAATTTGGTGTCAACAACTGAGTTGAAAACGTAAATTGGCCACCGTAATGAGTTAAAAGGCTAAGTTGTGCCAGGTAACCTAACTACTGCGAGCGAAGAATCGTTAGCATGTTAGATCACATGTTTGAATTGCGTTTGAGAATCAAGAATGCTTGATTCAGAACTGGTAATCGCATTCGGTAAGATTTCCGTATAACTCCAATCTTAATTATGCATGACGTTGTCGGATAGCAGAAAACAATGTCGAAAACAATGTCGAAAACAATACGATGCTTTTGAGAGTGCGGCTGTTTTAGAGCCAGATTTTAGAGCAGTACGGGGTCGTAAGGAAAACGCCATTTTCTTCATCTTCGTGTCTAATTAAATTAATCGATGTTGTGGACTTACTAGCTTCCCGAAAAGGTAAGCTTTAGAACAATTCTAGTGTCGGTCAGAGGGAAATATTGTCCGCAAATTTCGTCCATGTGTGACTTTAAAACCACATGGTTACACTTACACCGAGAACTACTCTTTCATTTTCTCATTCAGGTGTAAGTGTCATAAGTGCCGAGTCTCTCGTGCTCATCAAAATCTCGGACGAAATCAATATCGGTGGCTGTGTTCTGGAAGACGGCTGGTGTCAGCTGACAGCACAGGACCCAACTTACCCGTGGGATGTTCCGTTGTACAAGTCCCCACAGTTTGACGTCGGGTGTGTTGAATTTGACCCTTGCACAGTAACGGGAACCGAAAGGCCAAGCTTGTCTGACGGTGGTGTGAAGAAGTTTAACATTAAAGTGAACGTGTGGTTCTGCCCGGCTAAAACCAACTGCGGAATTCATAATGTACACACTAAACCGGAGATGTTAGAGGTAGATTTCTTGCCACAGAACAATGTATACTCCCCCCTCCCCCCAACCCATCTCCGGTTGATGCGTGTGGCACAGTTTGGGTGAGATGCACGTTGCTCACGCGTAAACACAAATATTCCGATAAACCAGTCTTTGGGTACTTTTGTAAACATCGGCATTACAACGTAAGAGATTGGTCGAGTTAGTCTTAGTTTACACTTAATTTGATGCAGAACTCTATCACACAAAATTGCTGAAATATCCACAGGAACAGTCGTGAGCCATGTGCTTTTGTCGTTTAAGCCAGCAAATTATAACTAAACAAGTTAGGTCCAAGAGCCATATTATACGTTACTTACTAACCCTGTTTACCTGAGCTGTAAGAGGGAATATTGGCCCTCTGTCATATTTGTACAGACCTTGCTGCACCTGGTCTATTCTGTCACAGCCAGGGGCCAATATACCCCAGTGCAGCCCTCATACTCGAAGAAATAATTGTTTGAAGTAACTTATTTAATCTTTTATTTTCATTGCTTGACAGTTTTCCTAATTTCATGAATGTTCTGAATGACTTCTTAGCTCAACGACATGCAATGGATTATTAAATGATTTTTTTGTCATTGTAGGTCCACACCCAGATATATGGCACAGGTAGAATGCAGAAATTCCTCTCCAAAGACTTCAACAGCATTTATGAAGATGTGCTCATGGTACCTGGATTTACCCATGATCCTTTTGCTGGTGTCAAGGATAACGGTGACGTTTTCTATGGTTGGCACCAGTACTACTCTGATACTGATTGTATCTGGATGGCCATCGAATACCATCCGGCATGATTCAGTTAAAACTCTGTATTCTTCACCCAAAAGCCAGCAGTCATTATCAAAACACGGCAATAACCTTAGCATAATAGTTTATTTTTTGTTGAGCTATATGAATGTATGAATTGAGTGCTATCTACAAAGCAGAAAAAAGCACTGATATAAAAAGCATGTAGTATCTCTGTGATTGAGTCCACTGCAAATAAATTATTTCATAAGTGAATATTTAGTTTGTTCTTGATCCAAACTATCTCCATCTCTACAAAAGATTGTGTGAAATGTAATCTTTGCAAAGAAATGACATCTCATATATATAATATATACAGTAGGAAGTAAATGTGACAACCCTCCCCCCCTTCAGATTATCTTTGCTAATCTGTGCCCTATAGTTCATTCTGACCCACCCCTCCCCTCTAGTTTATGGTAGCTACACTTGTTCCGCCAGTTTCTGAAATGCGCTTGCGAAGAACTCCAACAAGTCTCTCTAACCTATGGAAATCAAAGAGAGGGCATATTACACACCTAGTCCCCATTGTTTGAAAGGTGGATAGGTTGCTATCCGCTGAATAAAATTCCTATCCAGTGGATAGTGCTACAACTTTTGTTAACAGTTATAAGCTAGATAGCGAGTTATCCATTGGATTTTATTGCCTGCCCTTTTCGCAACTGGGCCCTGATCAAGAAATGCTGCATGTTAGCTAGCTGTAGAAACCTTGTTGACAAACTTAAAAAAAAAGTTCTCTGAGGAGGCTTCAGAGACAAAAGGCTTGTCACCCATAAAAAGGACTCATTCAACTTGTTGTTATAGCTCTCCATTTCTTCACCTGCAGGAAAATATGAGGTCATGGGCAACAAAGCCAGGGAGAGGTCTTCAAGGGGTTTAGCAGGTCATTTTTAGTGCTGGAACTCCAAACACCCTCTTCCTGTCTGAGCTCAAATCTTACAGCAGGCAGTGCCTGTTTGTAGCCCTTAAATTCCCAAGATCTCATTAGTAATTCTCTTTACTGTCTACCATACAGTTATTACAATGTAAGTTCGGAGAATTTGGTATTGAATCAACTTATAACACCCTAACTGATACTTTTCTTTATTCTCATCACTTGTCTGCCTGATATTGTATTGTTATTGTAAGGAGAAATTCTGTGTTGATCACTTATGGGAGTTAAAGGGGTAGTCTATCGACAATCGCACTGCATGATTGACTATTGAACCTGGCCTCAAACCATTTACTGAATACAGGTAACTTACTTATCAGCCCGTTCCTTTTCTCGTCGTCGGTTTTTCGAAGCCTCTTCCAGCTGTTTTGCTAGAGTTGTTCTTTCTTGTGAAACAGCTTTGAGTTTTTCAACCACTTCATCATAACTACGCTGAGCCTGTTGAATATCTACATCTCTTGCTCTGAGGCGAGTTTCAAAACTATCCATTGTCTGATTAAACTGATCTCGTAGGGATTGTTCTTGAGACAATGAGCGGTGTAAACTGAAGGAAAGGGAACAAATGAAAATTTCACCCTTTATACCCTAACACCAGTATGCATATTCTCCATGCTGTTTCTGTACATTTCCTAATGTGCTAGCAAGGAGAATTTGTTTCACAATCAAGAGATTCTTCAGTTGATTATCAATTCCTTATTTCTAATGACCTTAATGTTTGATTCAGGGGTGATATGGAAGGGAGAAATTTGATGCTGGTCACTCTCAGGGATTAATGGGTCAATGAGCACTGTAGACAGTAGAATGGTTGTAAGATAATCTCAACATAAACTGTATCCTCAAGGAGAGAATGTGAATGTGAATGTGCACACGCAGCCTGAACTTTTTTTTAAACCCAAAAGAGATACACTTTTGAATGGCTAACATAGAACAGCAGGAGGGACTATTCTTGTTATCAGAATGTCACATGTCCCAAATGTCATCACCATAATTTCCTCTCTAAATGACAACGAAAACAAAAACTACACAATGGCACTTTTCACATCTGTGCAACACTTTGCATAATATGTTAACACAATATGATATACTCAGGTTCCAGTAAGGTCACTTTTACCTGTAATAGACTCTTATTGTTTCCATTTCTTCCTCCAGTCTTTTTGACTTTTTCAAAGCTAGATCTCTTTCCTGTTGAGCTTGAATTGACTGTGACTGTAAAGAAGAAACAGGGTAATTTCGTATTATCAAATGAGTTGATAATGTAAATTGGCCACCATAAAGAGTTTAAAAGCTGACATTTTGAACTTTAGCCCTTAGTCAAAGCATTAGCCTGTCATCAATTGCTCTGATGAAGGGCTAATGTCAGGGCTAAAAATTGGCAGTTGCATGGTCACCAGTGGTGAGTTAAAACTGACCAGGGCCACCAAATGTTAAGGTTTGAACACCCGATGTGCAACTATGCTACAGAATTTTGAAAAGTTGCAATGTAAATTATGCGAAGTACAAAGTTAAAAATAAAACTCAATATGTAGTTTCATTGGACTACCTTTCTCTTTGTTTCTTTGCCTGGACTCTAAGATCATCCATTTTAGTGAATGTTTAGTTCTGAAGTGGAAATTGCGAGCTGTTTTAACAGTGATTTCATGAGCTTGTTCTTTCCTTTTAGTTAATGCTCCGTTAAAAGCTATGGGGCATTTATTCAAGTTCTTCATTTTAAACTAGAGGAAATCAAGGGCTACTTCATTTTGGGATGGGCCACTAAGAATTCAAAGAATTCCGGGCCCGACTGGCCACCAAGCACTGGAGTTAATTTTAAGCCCTGTAATGTTCAAAACATCAGCTTTGAAACTCTTTATTATAGCAAATTTATATTATCAACTCAGTTGATAACCCTAACTTACCCTGTTATACCCTCCCACTGATGCAGTATGACAGTTTC